TTTTTTAAATACATGCTTTTGTGCTGGTCAATTTTGTAGTGTGCAATTTAATAATTCAAAAATCTCCCAATGGGCCCTGGAAAGATCATAAAACCTGAAGAAGCCTTTGTTCCTTCTATTGTTTTGTTTTTTGGTACCAAGGATCAAACTCATGACTTCACACTTACCAGGCAAGTGCTTGAGCCACTGAGCTAAATCTCTGGCCCTGTTCCTTCTATTAAAGGTAGGGAAAAAAAAAGGAATCCAGTGGAAGCTAGAAAGTTCCCTAATTCTGCATTATCAAGGATTTTAAAGATTATGTTTTACCATTTATATTGACTTCTACATCATTCAGCTTTAAAAGTTCTTTTTGGTAGTGTGGGCAGATACTGGAGGTTGACCCCGGGTCTCATCATACATGCTATGCATGTGCTTTGCCACTGAGTCACACCCAAAGCCCCTAACACTTCTTGATCTATGACTGTCATCAATATTGTCTATTTTTTTCAAAGTTTAAAGTAACAGCTTGCATGCACTATGACAATGGTTAAATACCTGCTAATTGATGAAGTAGTATCTATATTGCTAGAACCATTAACTACGAATAGAAGTTGCTGTTATAATCAAATACAATTTCTAAGTTAATCTTGCTCAAATTGTAGTGATGTACATAATGATTGCTATGCTGCAGTTTACATAATTGTACAGTTTGCCTTTTTAAAGCAAAAAAATTTGTTTTCCAGCCTTAGCATTTTTCACATTGGCAGTTTTCGTGAACAATATTTAGAATTTTAATTATCATCTGATACACTGAAAGAGCTCAAGTGTAATCCTTGCACCTCATATTTGCTCTGACTTATAACTAAGAATCTTATGTTCCCCCAATTGCTCCTCATCAGGTCCTTACTCATATATTTCTTCCCACAAGGTCTCTGAGCACCAACCAACTTACTTATGGTTTAGTCCTTGTATCAGAGAGCCCAAGACACTAGGAATATATAGCATCCCATAGTATGGGAAAATGGCTATAATGATAGGATAAATGACAGAATGCAAATGCACTACTATAACTATGTGAAAACCAGACCCTAAAAGACTGGAAGAAAATATGTCAGTGTTAAAAGCAGTTGTGATGAACTGGTGAGATTAGGAGTGATTAGAAAGTGAGTTTCAGCCAGGTGAGGTGGCACACACCTGTAATCCTAGCACTTGGGAAGCTGAAGCAGTAGGATTGCTGGCAGTCTGAGGCCAGGCTGGGCTACATAGTGAGTTCAAGGTCTGCCTGAACCCTGTCTCCAGAAAGAAAGAAAGAAAGAGGACAGATAGAAAGAAAATGAGAGTTTTATGAGTTCCTTGCTTCCTATGTTGTCAGGGTAGTATAGGGAAGTCTTAGATTAAAGAAAGTCGGAGGAGAGAGGACAATAGATGCTTGGGGGAGACGGAGCAGTGCAGGGTAAGAGGGGCTTGCAGGTCAGGTCAGCATCCAAGTGTACAGCTCATCCGAGCTCTTCCACATGGCCAGGCTCCCCCAGTCAGTAGTCTTTAGTCTCCGTTCTATTTAGCCACTTTTCCCCATGGCTAACCCCAAGCCCTATCATAACCATAACTCATGGTAAAAGCCTGGAATTCTAAAGAAATTCTGACCACTATCTTCTATGCTCCGTGCCCCACTCCTTTAAATTGTAGTAAAATAAACGTAACCTAAAGCTACCATTTGAATTACTTTTAAGTGTACAATTCAGTTACATTAAATGAATTCACAATTGTCCACCATCACACTATCCACTTTTAGAATGTTTTATTATCCCAGTCACTCTGTACCCACTAAACAATAACATTCCTTTCCCTCCTTGTTGGCACCTGGCATTCAACATTCTGTCTCTTTGAGTTTTTACTGTTCAAAGTACATTCCATAAGTGGAACCATATATTATTTATCTTGCATTGGCTTATTTCTCTCGGTATACTGTTCATGCATGTTGTAACAGATGTCTTTTCAATGCTGAATCCCACTGTATGTAAAGAATGCATTTTGTTTATCCATTCATCTGATGATGGTTATTAGGTTACCTCTATTTTCTAACTATTGTTAAGGATGCTGTTATGAGCATCAGTGTATAAGTATCTGTTTAAGCCCCTGCTTTAATTATTTGGGGTATATAACTAGGAAATGAATTGTTAGGTATATAATTGTACGTCTAACTTTTTAAGGAAACCACCAGTAATCTTCTACTGCAGCTGTAACATTTGATTTTCCCATCAGCTATACTGAAGGGTCCCAATTTCTCTATATACTTATTAAACTTATTACTTTATGTGTATGTGTGTATGTATGTAACATTTCAGTTAGAACTTATAATACATTAACATCTGACAGTAAAGAATGCAGTCTTGTGATCAGTCACAAAACTAAGTATCATATTTCTGTGGGAGGAAAGCAGAATAAATATTATAGGACCATCTATCTATTATGTAGAATAATCATCCTAATGAATGTAAAGTGGTTGCTCTCATTAACTATACTTATCTTCAATGACAATGACATCTACTACACCTGCTTTTGAACTACCTGATTTACTCTGGTTTACTTGTTTCCCCCCACAATCTATTTGTTAGTGCAAGCGTGGAAGCATTTTTAACTGAGTTTCTGAATGCACATCACCTGCTACTTGCTCACAGGCGGAGTTCGGGTCTCTAACCTCGGCACCAGGAATTCCCCAGTCTGGTCCTGCCTCTCTAGCCTATTTTCTGGTACTCCATGGTATTAACCGTTTATGCCAGATACTGATCTCACCATACTTCTGTATTTCCCTGACTTTGCACATTTAGGTCCCTCTCCTTTGTTATATCCTAGAACAAATGTTTTTCCAGGGGACTTACTGAGACCTGATGGCTGAGAATTTTGAAAATTCTAGAAAGACATCTTGAGATAATACTGTTTTCTCTGCCCTCTCAGCAGTTTAACTCCTAGGTTTACAGCCCACCACCTTCCTCATTCCATCCCCTGACCCAACACCCACATCCTACCCTAGGCTTTTTCACCCTAACCTTTTTTCTTCCTTTTATACAAATATAACCTAAAAATTAGAGGCATTTAGTCAGACATGGTGATGCACATTTGTAATCCCAGGTAGTTGGAAAGTTGAGGCAGGTGAATCACAAGTTTGAGATCAATCTGGGCAATTTAAAAGAACTTTGTCTCAAAATAAAAAGTAAGAAGGCCTGCAGATATAGCTTAGTTGTAGAGCATCCTTGGGTTCAGTCTCCAATGCCATACAATAACAAACAACCAGACATCTTAAAGACAGCCTTACAGTTTTTTTCAATTACCAAAAGAAAAACACACTTTAAAAAAAATGTTGAAAGCAATGCACCAATGTGGGAAGTTTAAAAATACAAAGTAAAAAAGAAAGGAAAATGTATATTACAGCTATGTAAAAATGCACACGTGAGAACAGACTGTACATGGAAAAACTGTTGATACGTTAGGACAATTTCTCAGCACTGACACTACTGACACTTTAGCCTGGACATTTAATTCTGTGTTTTATAGGCTGTTCTAAGCACACGGTAGGATGTACAGCAGCAGTACTTTACCAACTGGATCAAAACAGCACATTCCAGTGTAACAACTACATTACCAAATGTCTCTTGGAGGAAAACTGCCCCAACCCCGGGTGTAGAAGTGTGTTAGACAGAGTAAGAGAAAAAAATTTTATTCTTCCTTGTTAGTCTAGTGGTGAAATAAAAAAATGTTTATTCTGGGTTAACCTTGTAGTACTGGAAGATGAAAGCCCTCATAAAACAGCATCCAATAGCCTACTTTTCCAAGAGTTAAAATTTACTCAGCTCCATTTAATATGAACCGTTGAAAAGGCTGAAGAGCTGCTTTTTATTATCTAACCTGTTATAAAGAGAAAGTTGACTTTTCGTAATTGGAAACCTGAGCTAAGAATGAAATATCACAAATAACACTTCCATTAGCCTAAGAAATAACATGTCTAAATCATTATAGTTCTCCATACCTGTTTAAAACATGTACTTTTGGGCTGGGGATTTGGCTCAGTGGCATAAGCGCCTGCCTTGCAAGTGCATGGTCGTGAGTTTGATCCCCAGTGCAGATAAAAAAAAAAAAAAGATTTGAAAAAAAAATATGTACTTTATATATTCTCAAAATAGTTTTATATTTAAACCTAAATAATGAGAAAAAATGAGTCAAGAAGGAATACAAACTGTAAGACAAATTAAATTGCTTTTCAAGCTAAAATAAAATTTCACTGGATCCAAATTAATCATACTAATGAATTAATCTAAGAGCCTTTAGACTATTGAGTCTGCTTAGTTGCCAAAAATATTTATTTTCAATCATTCCTTTTTGGCTCACATCAAATACAATGTTTTTCTGATTCAGAAACTAACTTAAAGAAAAGACACAATAAATGTTTCAAGCATCTTACCTATAGCAATTCTGTCATCCCCAGGTGTTGGGTTCATATGGGTTTAAAGTTGAAATTCTCTATTACATAATCATTTTTTGATTAATTTTCACAGTTACAAACACTTCAATAATATTTATGCCTACTCTAATATTTACTTAATTATAACAAGGAACAATTTTCTTTATATACGTCTGAAATGGCTTGAAACCACTATTTTTTCCTCCATTTTTAAAACACACTAGGTTTTCAGCAATCTAATGTATTTACTAATGTGTACTTCTCCACTCTAGTCTCTAGTTTACTCCCACAGAACGTTCGCCATGATGCAGAGAAACACAAAATTTTCCCAGTTTTATAGCTGAAGAATATGAAATACTTAGGCAGGCAAAATATCGCAGCAGGAAAACAGGAGGAGGTGGTCTATAAATGACAGAAGTGGCAGAGACAAATGGACACTCAAAAACGTGCAGGGTGAACAGGAAAGGGTGAAAATGGTCATGGGACACACAGAACGAAGAAACTGGTGCTCAGAACAATGAGAGAAGTGGATGAAGTTGCAGCTTGAAAGGCAAACGTAACTGACTTGATGACTTCGGACGCTGAGGTTCCCAAGGCGCTCCTCAGGATTCAAGGTTCAGCGAGACGAGTATCGGCCAAAAAAGCAGGAAACCGCAGTTCTTCGTTCCCGGGCCTACAAGTAGTTATCAGCTGTGCCTCTGTGGACTCTGTAATTTAGCCTGGGCCTTGGGGAGCAGTCAGCTGTAGGGGGGCAGCCTCCTCACCAGCAATGCCTACCTAACTTACCGAGCGTGTCTAAGTCGCTCTCTAAATAACAGCGGCATCTTGATGCTAAATGCCTACAGCAGCTGAGGGTCCGGGAAAACAGGAAAATCCTCGCAGCAGATGCACTCCAACCTGGGGCTAGAAACGCCGAGGTGGAGAGGCGCTCCTCCTGGAGTTTCGGGCCATCCGTGGGAGAGAAGCGTTAAAGCAGTGAAATGTGGAAAAGGGGAGAATAAAAGCGTTCCTCCTTGAGAGTGGGTCGGAAGAAGGCCAACAATTTTTCTCTAAGAGGGTACCCCCAAGGAGTCCCGGCGTTGCAAAATTCAGGGCCCAGCAGACGCTGCCTGCAGGTGCTCCAGAAGCCAGGGCGTCATAGCAACCACGCTAGCCGCACCCACGCAAAGGCGTCCTTCCGGCTGGAACCATGGATACGACGCAGGTCATTGGTACCAGGGTTTGCTCTTCCTGTCAGGAACATTGTTACGGCGAAACCATTGGACTTTGGGTCGGGGGGCGGAGCTCTTTCAGCTGTATCGTTAGTACGGCTCATCCCATTGGCTTGGAGACTGCGGTAATCAGAATAACTTAGTGGCTAGTATTTGCAACTGATTTGCTTCCCCCTATAACCGGACGTTCTAGTTCTCGAGTATGTTCTCTCCAACTTAGAATTTTCTTGAAATTAAGTCATCCTTAAAAGGGCAGGGTAATACGTCTGGAGTTATAATAAATTTTAGGCCTAATTAAATTGCCATTAATCTCCTGGAGTGCCTAAGAAATTATACTTTTGGACTCAGCTTTTTGCAAAAATAAAATAACCCAACTCATCACAGTTATTATTGAGGCTGAAGCCCTTAAGTCCTAAGCACTGGAAATTAGGTGAGTTGTTCTTACTATATAGTGCAAAATATAACTTTAAATGCCACATAATTTATCAAAACTTCTGTATCATTTTAAATGTGATTCCCTGCTCTCTGGCCAAGATTCCAGGTTATTTATCAGTGCTCACTTTTACTTAGTTTTGGGAGGCCTTTGCTTAACTATCCCAACTAGTATGTACATTTCTTAGTCATATTCTAGTTACAAATCTTTCCAAACCTTTGCTAGCTCCATATACATTATGTGCCTGGATAGGTCTTACCTCTTATTTTATGAGTGCTTCACCTTTTCCCTTTGGCAATAGAGCCTCTGCAAATACTTTTTCTCTGATCTAAATGCTCACAACCTGCAGCCCACTTATTCCAGTTTCAACATCACCTCAAGGAAGGTTTCCTTGGTCCTCCATTCTAGATCAAGTTCCTTACTTGCTTTCATTGATTCATGCTTTTTCTTAAATAGTGTCATCATCCACAAGGTTATAAATGTAGGGAGGAAAATCAGTCTTTTCTTTCCTGCTCTGTCAACACTGCAGCCAAAACACTGCTTTTGAGGTTTTGCCAATTGGACCTAAAGTTCATTTAAAATTAGCAAATAACTGCTGCTACCAAAAGTCTCGGTAACTTGTAACTGCTGCCGCAGTTATTTTTTCTCTACTAAACAGCACGCTTTCTGCTTTAATGATTTATCTTGCTGCTTCTCTTCAAATTTCAACTAAAATTGACACACTGGATTATTCTTCCGAGCTCCATGAGATATTGTGAATTGTATTGGGTGGCAGATTAGCCCAAGAATTACTCTACCATTAGGCTACATTCCCAGGCTGGCCTCAAGTTTGTGATCCTCTTGCCTCAGCCTCTTGAATAACTGGGATTACACACCTGTACCGCCATGCCTGGCATGAATTTTATTATTTGATGGCACTGGGGATTAAACCCACAGCCATGTGCAGTCTAGGTACACTCTTTCACTGAGCTAAATCCTTACCCTCTAAATCAAATATTAATGTACATAATAACGGAAGCTTTTCAATTTGTATTCTGGGCCACCCTACAAACCAGTCTGAGAATCCTGCATTATACTTCTTACATATGTTTACTTCTTGGACTCCCACACTAGGGAGTGAAAGAAGTTTTGAGTTATCAACAATTCAAGGATCACTCAGGGCTCCAGCATGATACAGGCAAGTGCTACCAAGTAAGAAAAATAACAGTCTCAACCATTTACAAGTGTGAACTGCCGCACACAAGGAATTTTCCTTTATCTTATTTTTCTTAATCCTAACAACAATATCACTTGGCAGATTTACTATCCTCATGTTACACATGAGGAAAAAGATATGAGCCCAAGTTTATAAAGCTAATAGGTGGCATGGTTGGCTAAGATGTCTTCACATCCACACTCTTTACCACAGAATGAAGCTCACCAATAAAGCTGGTACCAGTAGGATGACTCGTTTAAGTTTAAGAACAGTTCTAAAATATTTGAGAAATAAATTGTTACTCAACTATAGAGTAAATCTAGAGCAAAAGGTAAATGTAGTAGAAAGCTCTGCAATGTTCAAGCAATCACCTATGTTTAGGAAGTGTCTTTCTTATTTTTAGTAAATTTCCAAAAAAACAACATCCTTTCTGTGCATTTGTGGGCACACACTTTATTATACTTTAACTTTTATACATCCATTTCCCAAGCAAGACATATTTATTCATCTTTTTAATCCTCATCACTTAGCTGAGGGCCTGAAACACAGTAGGCCCTCACCAAATATTTCATCTTCAAAGCATGAGCACTCATGCATCCATAATCCTTTCTGTAAATTAAGCTGATATTCAGCATTTAGCCCCCATTATATTTTGTGAAATATATAATTCCCATCAGACTTCTCTTAAAGGTGAGATATAGTTCTAGTGTTCAATTTCCAAATCCAGGTAACATTCAGGTGATTTTATGGGGTGGTTCAGTCATTAAGACAAATACCAACCCATACCTGCCTGCACACCATCAATTTTACCCTTCCCTCTGTCTTTACAAAACCAAAGAGTTTTTTAGTTCTTGCATTCTGTAAAAGCTCTGGTCCACAGAACAATTTTCAATCCTGTAAGATCTTTTCAGATCAGTTTTTGTCACATATAAAAGCTGTGTGTCGAGACTGAAGATCATCCACTATCTTCTGTTCTATCACCATGCCTTTTTCTACTTCTTCCTCGGATAGCAGTAACTTGGTTTCTGAGTCTTTGGTTATAATAACTACAAAAGACTGTAATGACTCGAGGATATTAGCCACCACCACTTGATGCTGATAAACTTCCAAAGCGTTCCGAGCACGACTAATTATGATGGAGGGGTCAGTCTCCAACTTAAAGGAAATTATAAATGCTTTGGGAGCCCAATCTTTAACTAAAGGAGAAAGCATTTTTGGCACCATCTTCATGGTTATCTGTATTGGAAAAAGAAAAGCTTAATTAGCAAACAGTGGCCACTGCTGCCTACCAGGAAACTGAGGAATGACACTCAGATTTTTGCCTATAAAAGTGTAAGGGGATTTCTCACTATCAAACTTCAAAGCATAGCACTTAGCTTTAAAGGCCTGCTTTTGTGGGGTTCATAACAATGCCTAAGTTCAAGGCTTCATATGTATTCTGGCAAATTGTGTTTTCTGGAATCATCCCTGCCCTGTACCTCATTATATTCTTCAACATTTCCCTTTATTTTTTTAAAAAGCAATCCTCAAATAAACACAATCTGTGCATGTAAATTTTGTTGACAGAAACCCAGTAAAACTGGGTTTTTAAAATCTCTCAATCTAATATATTTCTCTCACTGGCAGAATGGCCACTGGATTTTATTTACTTACATTTACTTACGACTGGAATTCTAAGTGGATACAATTACACAATTTGGTCCTGAGCAAGCAACTGAATTTATTTTCCCTTTATCTCAATTCCTATCATCTTTTTTTCTAATACCTTCCAAGGGGAATCATCATTTTGTGTACTTTCAAGATACCATAGAACTTAAAATATGTGAGATATACTAAGGATCCTAGAATTTTTAAAAGTGTGAAATTCTAAGCTAATCATCAGGATTTTCCTTAAAAGAGCTATTAGCAAGTATAAAAGGGATCATAGACCAGTTTCCCACTTTTTCTCCTTATCGCTTACTACCAAATACAGTATGCATTTGACTTCCCTTACTGGATATATTTCTTTTCACAGTTTACACTTCCAGGTCCTACAATAGTATGTGGCATACAGTAGCTACACAGTAATCTTTACTTTAAGAGCAAGTGAAATAACCCTGTAAGTGCCCCACAGGTAAAGTTCTTCTATATAAACTCTACTAATATCACCCAATAACCAATTAAGAATTTCCTCAAGTTCCAAGACACTAGGTAATCACAATCATAGCACTCCCCTCCCCATACCTCTTCATCTACAATAACCCCAATTGTATACTTTCTCTGCTCTCTCCGTTTTATCTTTCAAAATGATACAGAATGTTCTTTTCATACAAAAACTTTTACCTCATTTTTTTACTTAATCCCCTTGTTGGCACAAGATAAAGTCCAAGCTTTTTAAGCAGGAATAAGTTTTCTATGAAGCAAGGTGCTTCTTCATTCTGCTGCTCAGCCTCATAAAAGCACTTCAATTCCAAACGACAACTGTGTAACTGCACTCATAATTGCCTTTCCAATTTTTGTTATACCCTGCACTCATCTTTTAAAACCTTGGTCAAGTCATCTCCACCAGGAAGACTTCCTCCACTCCCCCAGTTCACTCCCTCATGATCTGACTGCACTTTGTACATACCTCCACTACAGCATTTATCACTCGGTATTGTAATTATGTCTGTATCCAGCTCCCTCGCTAGATTGAGGTCCTTGAGGGAGGGCGGTGTCTTTATTCATCTCTGTATCCCCAGTGCCTAGCGCATACAGAATGCAGAAAGGCCATCTCCAGGTCAAGAGTAAATTAACCCAAGATTGGTTAAAGGGGATCAGATCTCTGGAAGAGAAGCGCCCATCACCTGCAGTGGGCCCCCAGATGACTGGATCTTGTGTTCAGGCATTTCAGAGACAGGAACATAGAAATCTGACACGGCTGCAGCGAGGTAAAACATCGCAGAAGGGCCTGCAAAGAGAAGCAGATAGTGTAACAAATCGGGGAAGGTATGGAGTCAGTTGCTTTTCAATTCGGAAGCCTTGCTGTGAGTCCGCTGGCTAAGCGAAAAGTACAGTGTATGGGGGAAAGTGGCTGGGGAGAAAGCCTCTGCCTCTAGGCCACCGAGGGATTCCTATGGCACCCACCTAGAGGGTTGAGTGCTTGAGCCGCAGCCTGAAGCAGATGCAAATAGTCCGCCAAAGTGGTGAACTCTACGGCCAAGAAGGTGCCGGCAGCCGCTGCTTCCTGATAGCTCCGCAAAGCCTCAGCAAAGCCTGGTAGTGCATTCTCCTCGGCTTCCAGGCTCAGCATGCCTGACTGTGCTGGCCCAGAAGGTCGCAGAGCTGACAGCCAGGACTGAGGCGGGAAGCGATGGGCATAGGGGAAGGCGGAGCGGGCACGGTACAAGAACAGGACCCCATAACCTGCAGCCAGAAAGGCCTCCGCCGAGGCTGCACCACGCCGTCCACTGCTGAAGTTGTCTAGAAAGCGCACGGGCCTCGCTTCCAGAGGAACCTTGGTGCCACCTGACGTAACCAACACCACCCTCCGTCCCTGCTCGCCCAGACGGGCGGCAAAGCGAGCCATAACCTCGGCCCAGCGCGCAGCACCCGCAGGCCGGGGGAACTCGGCGCCCAGGTCCATTTCCGCCATCAGTGCCGCAGCGTCTCTGTGCCCACGCACGCCCCGGCCGCCGGCGCCACGCCTCTCCCATACCTGGGGTGTGCGCAGCCGCAATAGTGACTGGGCCGTTTGCTCTGGATTTAGGGCCCAGGCTGCTCGTCGCGCTAAGGGCGGAAACACGTGGTGTTGCGCGACAGTGTCTAGGGACGGTGACAGAGCACCTCATTCTCTGTCGGGTGGACATTTAAGAAAGTCAAAGTTTGTCCTGTTAATGTCTTAGTCTGGGTGAAGAACTGTCTGCATTTGACCTTTACCGGCTACCGTACGGGTTTCCGGCCCTTAGATTCGGAGAGGTTCAATTACGACTGGTTTAACCTTTAGTTCCGTTGGGTTTGTCTTCTCTTTTTTTCTTTCCTTTCTTTTCTGTGTTTTTGGTTTCAGAACTAGACCCCATGGCAGTCATTCCACACCCTTTCCTCTAGTCTTTGAAACCTCAGGGCCGCGACTGTCCCGCGGTGTCACGTGATGCCAGTGTAGTGCGTGTTCTCGCCAGGCAACAGTCCTAGAGACGGACACCGCCGGCTGCAGCATGAATGTCATCTACCCGCTGGCGGTTCCCAAGGGGCGCCGGCTCTGCTGTGAGGTGTGTGAGGCTCCGGCTGAGCGTGTGTGCAAGGCTTGCACGGTCACTTATTACTGGTAGGCCCTGGAGCGTGGCGCCTGGTGCTTCAACTCCCCCTCTCCCAGTCCCGGGTCTAGGCTTGTGTGCTTAAGCTCTGGCCCCTGGTTCTACCAGAGACTCCTTCAAGGCGTCTTCAAAACGGGTCTTGTAAGACGTTACAGTGGAGTAACTCCCAACCTACTAGAGTTTGTGTCTCAAGGTGCCGATGCTGAAAAACGGTATCAAGGAAAAGAAGTGACAGTATCAAAGTTTTATTGAGAGCAACCGCCTCAGAGGCAGGAGGTGTCAAGCTCTTTATCTTGGACGTTTAGATACACTAAAATCACGGCACGGGTTGCCTTTGGTCAAAGTGTAATCATCTGATAGGCTTACAAGTACAGTCACATAGCTTATACTGATCTAATAGAAAAACAAGATAGCAAGGAGAATAGACATTTCTGGAAGAGGTAGCTATGAGGGTCATAGTGTTCTGGTCCTCTATCTATGTGATTGTTACATTATTTACACATATTTGTTTAGGCATTTTGGACCAGATGGTTCCAGGCACAGTATAGCTTTGTGTCTCAGGAGGCTTGTAGGCCTAGCCAGAGTGTTTCCATCTTGGCGCCAAGTTTCTATCAACTCATCCCCACCAACCACAAGCCTGGTTTGCCTCATCTGTGTGCTGAGTCTGTCTTAGACCCAGGCATTCTGTCAATCGCTACCTGACTTAGCTATCAGGAATATTATGGCCTTTCTGCTTCTCTCGCTTGCTGATTCATCGGCAGAGTTTTTTGGCGATCATACTATGTGTTGTGCACAATTTTAGGTGCTGAACTTAGAGGGGCAAATTAGTAGATTTACTTCCTCTAAAATGTGACATTAATAGTGTGGGATAAAATAAACCAAGAAGCTCAGAGTAAGCATTGTAATTTCAAGGGCCAGGAGGCATGTCTGTGATCCCAGGCCAGGGGAGGCTGCCTGGGCTACACGGTGAGTTCAGGCCAACCTGAACTACATAGTGAGACCCTGTCCAACAGAGAGCAATAATTTCCTAGACACGTTGTAAGACAAGTAAAGGAAATGTAATACATTTCTTTGAGAATAGACCATTGATCTAAAGGTACAGTAGCAACATCTCGCCATGGAAATAGTTGAGTGATATAGATAGGTGAGTGATATAGATAGGATCTGAGGTGGGAAGAACTGTTATATTTGAGGAATGGAGAAAGGGCCAGTTGGTTGGTACACAGCTAAGATGGTGAGGTTGGAGGGAGGCTAGTGCAAGATGAAGTGAGTTCTCAAGTATCCATCATTACTTCTCTTACTTTTTCTTCAATTTAGGTCCTATTTTAGAGCTGGCAAAGAACAGCTTAGATTACTGACATTCAGAAAAACAATTTAAAGCAGACTGATACATTTTTTTAAAGGGGTCATATTACATTACATTGTACATGACAAATGCTGCCATTCAAGGTGCATTGAACCCTGTGACCCCTGCAATTAGAAGCGTGACTATGGAAGTATCTAGAAAGGTTCCTCTGAGGAACTAATATTCGAGCTGAGTCTTGGGAGGTCGATAGGAACTTGCTGTGGGAAGGAGAAGTGAAGAAAGTAAGGCATTACTTGCATTCAGGATTACTTGGTTGAAAAGGGAAAGAACAGACATAAGTGGGAAAGAGAGTAATGCAAGGAGCAGTCAGTGGTTTTCAAACTGCAGGTCAGGACCTAGCAGGACATGGGTAAATCACAATTTATATATATATATAGTCTTTTTTGAGACGGGGTCTCACTATGCAGTTCAGGCTGGCCTTGAGCTCACTTTGTAGCCCAAGCTGGTCTTGAACTCACAACGATCCTCCCGCCTCAGCCTCCCGAGTGCTGGGATTACAGGCAACAACTAGCATATATTTTAAAACAATTTTAGGTTCTCTACATTGGCCTCACACTACTATGTAGTCAGGCATGGTGAGACACACATGTAATCCTAGCTTTTGGGAGGCTGAGGCAAGAGGATCATGTGAGCTTGGGGCCAGGCTAGGCCACATAGTTCAGGGCCACTTTGAACTGCGTAATAAGAGCTTGTTCAAAATAAAGCAAAACAAAAACCTGTTACACAGTACTACTGTACCCTGAACTGGCCTCGAATTTATGATCCGCCAGCCCCAGCCTCTCAAGTGCTGAGTTTACAGGTATATGTCCCCATGCCTAGCTATAATTTGCATTTATAGAAAAGGAAAATAGCATAGAATAGGAAGTATCAGAGCAATTCTACTTGAATTGTTTCTTTTATGCATAAAATGTATTTCTTAGTATGAGTTGAGTAAATTAAAACATTTTGGTAGGTAGTAGTTTAAAGAAGCTACAAGTTAGGGTCAGTGATACAAGATTAAGGAGTTTGGAATTCAGTCTTAAGAGCTATAGATTGTTTTGAGCTGACGTGCTGTAGTTTGTGCTAGGAGGATGATGGGCAGTGTGGAAGACAGACACTGCAGGCTGCATAACTGACTTAGAGGCTGTTGCAGTGGGCGAAGTAGGAAGTGTGAACATGCCTTTCTTGAACCAGTCCAGATATCCTTCATCAGAGTTCTCAAAGCACGTGAGAACCCTGCCCCTTAGATACTTAGGATACCAGCTGCAGTCAGCTCTTAAACCGTTGCATCTATCACGGCACTGCCCCAGGAGAAGGGTCTGGGTTTTCATTGTTCTTTCCTTTTCAGCAGCTTCCCCACATTTAAAACATCACACAGAATTTGTAACAGAAAGTGAAAAGCTGTGATTAACTCTCCACATTTCCCAGTGCACTTCTCTGTCTTTTCCTTGCTGTGGTTACAGAAAACTGAACTTCTGATTTGCTCCTTCAGTTTCTTTCTTTCTTTCTTTCTTTTTTTTTACCTGGATGGTTCCCTCTAGTGAGAGCCTCCCCTCCTATCATAAGACTTCCTGGCTGCTTTTCCTTCTTCACCTCAAAGAAGTCTAAACCTGACCTAAACCCTCTTCTCCTATTTTTCTAACAAACACTGTTTTTCTTTCTCTCCACTTTTTTGTTTACTTCTCCAATGTCTTTGTCTTTTACTAGACCTTTCCTCTACATATCAGACACTCAATAAACATTCATTGAATAAACTTCTGAATAGATAATAAATGTCTTAGGCAAGAAATACAGGAGCAGGAGATGATAAATGACAGATTCAATTGCAGACATATAGTCTAAGAACCTTCATGTTACCTCTGTGCCAGTTGGCTTCATGGCACTCAAGAGATTTGACCCCTTTGCCTGGCATCAGTACTCATTTCTTCCTTAAAGCACCCCTATCCTTTCCATCCCTCCAGCCAGAAGTAATTCCTCCTTCCTCTCAACTCACTGTATACCCATTCTTTACGTCCCGGACAACTCTTACTTTGTTTTTTCATTTCCATTTTGGGAAAGCATGTTATCTCAACCCTCTGTGCTCCATTAATGCAGGATATTGTTTTGAATGTTTCTAGGACTGTCATGTGTATGCTCTTTTGTGTCATAACCACATGCATACCCTGATAGTCTACAGCAAAGATTCTTGAAATAGTTGGCACTAGTATTAGATGATACAAATAAATTTTCATTACTTATGCCCTTGCCCTCTACCCCAACCCCAGGTGTTAAGGATGGAATCCAAGGCTTCATGCATGCAAGGCAAGCAGCCTACCACGAGACTGTCCCCAGTCCCTTTACTTGCTTTTAATTTGCTTCAAGGTCTTCACCTCTTCTTTTTAATCATCTTTTTTTAAAATGCTCTTGTGTCCCAGGCACTTCATGATTTTTTGATAGTTAAGATTTGAGATTTAAAAGTCTGAGATTTTTATAATTACTGTTCATTAAGATCTGTGGTGAATTGTAGAATGAATGTCCTCCCTAAAGGCATTAATATTCAGTTTTATTTACTTATTTTTGGTATCAGGGATTGAATTCATGACCTCATGCTCGCCAGACAGGCACTTGTGTTACTGAGCCAAATCCCCAGCCTAAAATTCAGTTTTATAATAATTCCCAAGCAAAACATGTCTGCCTCAGAAGCTACTCAATTGTGAGTTATGATTATAAACATACTTCAACTTCTTTATGAATGGCCCAGCCTTGAAAATTAGGGTGAGACAGATGAATAAAGACAGAGCTACAATATACAACAAAAGCTCACTTTATTTGAAAGGCAAGATATGTCAGTTGTTCTTGGTGGAACAAAAGTTTAAGCAGTTAAATAAGTTACTGAACAAATCCCTACTTAATAAATACCTTAAAAATAAATAAATACCTTGAAGAACTTTATTGATCTGTTTACAGTCATTTTCTACCCCCTAAAAACTCCTTTTAAATGATTTCTGTCATTTCAATAGTAGCAGTCACAGTTTAAGAAAAAACTACTTGACTATATTTCTATTTTCACAGGAGGAA